TTTCCGGAATAAGTGGCCCAGTGTAGACACAGCCTGTGAATTGGTAGATACTGATACAGATACACTCCCTCTCAGGAGTGTCCTCTTTTTTGAAAGTTCAAATATGGTAACCCTAGTTGGGCCAGGCAAAGCCACAGCCAGGCCTGGCATTCTTCCCCGGCTGCTGAGAGGTTGGTTTGGATGTAGCTGCAGCCAGGCCCATCTCTCTTCCCTCAGGCCCTGGGGGGTTGGGTTCGGCCAAAGCCATGGCGTGGTGAGGCCCGGCTTTCTTCACCAGCTGCTGGGAGGTTGGGCTGGGTGAGGCCGTAGACAGGCCCAGCTTTCTCCCCAGCTGGGGAGTTGGGCCTGGCTGAAGTAGTGGCCTTGACCAGCTCTCTCCCCCCAGCCACGGGGGAGGGGGAGCAGCGGGATGGGGGGGGAGACGACACAGCCCAAAGTCATTGGGTAGTTAGGCCTGGCTCTCTTCCCCAGCTGCCAGGAGGTTGGCCTGGGCAAAGCCATAGTCAGGACAGGTGTTCACACCTCCAGATCAGCTGCTAGAAGTGGGTTCACCCTCCCTGACTGAATTAACCTCGTTATCTCTAGCCTAAGTCTTGCCTGCATATTTACACCTGCCTCTGGAAATTTCCACTACATGCATCTGACAAAGTGGGTCTTTGCCCATGAAAGCTTATGCTCTAATACATCTGGGTATGTCTACACTAGAAAGTTAGTTCGAACTAACGGACGTTAGTTCGAACTAACTTTCCTATGCGCTACACTAGCGCTCCGCTAGTTCGAATTTGAATCGAACTAGCGGAGCGCTTAGTTCGAACTAGGTAAACCTCATTTTACGAGGACTAATGCCTAGTTCGAACTAGCTAGTTCGAACTAGGCGTTAGTCCTCGTAAAATGAGGTTTACCTAGTTCGAACTAAGCGCTCCGCTAGTTCGATTCAAATTCGATCTAGCGGAGCGCTAGTGTAGCACCTATTAAAGTTAGTTCGAACTAACGTCCGTTAGTTCGAACTAACTTTGTAGTGTAGACATACCCGGGGTGAGCCTGTCTTAGTCCCACCGCACAACCATCTGAGGTCAGTAGGTCCCAGCCGGAGCCCACATCCCGAAACCCTACCCCAGTCATGAACCCCTGAGTACACTGCACGTCTCTGCCCTAGAGCTCCGAGCACCTCTGCATCCGAGCACCTCTGCTAGCATGCACCTAGCATCCCTCCTGCACCCCAACTGCCTGACCCAAGCTCAGAGCCCCTCACACTCCAGATCCCTTAATCCAAGACCAGAGTCTGCACCCCAGCCTGGTGAAAGTGAGGGAGGATGGGGGAGGAAGGGAGGATGGAGTGAGCAGAGGCGGGGGCCTCGGAGAAGGGGCACAAAGGAGGTGGGACAAGGGTATTTGGGTCTGAAGTAGCTCTTCAATTGCACTTAAATTAAAAAAGTGCTCTCGTACTTAAAAAGCTTGGAGACCCCATGTTTTGTTAGTCTATAAAGTGCTACCAGACCATTTGTTGTTTTTTAAGAGAAAAGTTAGTTGGGTTTTTTTCCAGGCAGAGGCTGTCAGATTAGCAATTTGTTTGTTTATAAATAATGTTACAACTAAAAGAGTCCCATTCTGACCTTGGTTTGTACCCGCAATCCCCATTGACATTAATGAAAGCTCCATGAGTGTATCCAAGGGTAACACTGGAGGTTTTTACCATTCAGCACTCACTGAAAATGTTCCATCCCCACTGACCATCCCATAGGCATAACAAAATGGTAAAGAATACTGATGATGTGTGGAATGCTGAATCTCACCATCCTCCAGCATGGCAAAGAAACCTCCTGGCAAAGTCATTTGATAACAATGACATAAAATAAATAGCTAAACAGATCCCTTATTATTTGGCGCTCTTATCCCATTCCATGCAAGCTTCCAGTATTCACAGACACAGACAGTAATTAATCCTCCTGCCTCCAACCTGGCACTGCTAGCTCAGATCTGGCTCAGCTGCTCTGGGCAGGGTATTAAATCCTAGTCAGATGAGGAGCTGGGTGCTTCCTACTTGTGCCTGAAGGGCCAGGAGCTTGAAGGGCTTGGTTTAGGGACAAGGTTGTCTGCTTTCCCACCGTTTAATATTATTAACTCGACTCCTTGGTTTATAATCAATGGAATGCAGTAAGCAAACTATTACAGGATCAGGGACAATGGGCGACTTGACAGCAAATCACAAGGTAACTATCCTTTTGCTTTCTTTACTGGCCAAAATATTGTTCATAATTAACAGGCAGCTAATGTGCATGTTTCCCTGAGTGACTGAAACGAAGGGACTCTTCACAGTTTAATGTCAAAAGGGCTATTTAGATAGCTCTTCAAACTGACTTTATGGGAGGGTTGAATATTTCTATCACTAAACACCCCGCTCCATTCTGAGAGGAAGAAGCCCAGAGTGCCAGATCTGGAATAAAGAATCCAGGTTTTTCCCCATTAGCACTACTAGCAAATAGTAATCATAACTTCAATGTCTATGGCACCTCTCATTCTTGCACTGTAGATTGTTAAAGTTTTCAAGGGAAATCTAACCTAGCCCCATACAAAGAATGGAGTGCCAGCCTCTGCTGAAAGGTCATAGAAGCCCCCGCAAGGTAAGCAGAACTACCCTTACCTGGAAAGATGCTTGTGGGGCATGGGGTTTTGTTACTTGTACTCATGAATTGCAAAGGAGACATTATCCAATTGTTTTGTGCTGTATCTTTAAATCAGAATCCCACAAAGGAAACAATTAGGCTTAGCAGGAAAAGGACTTGAGACTTGGAACTTTTCTTGAAATTTCCCCGAGTCCCATGTGAAATTCTATGGAGAAGTCTTTTGGTTGATGACATGTTTCTAAACTGATGTATTAGGCTATGTCTACACTGAAGAGTTTTTCCGGGATACCAAAATCTCTGCTGCGTCCAAGGAAGGCGTCTGCTTTTCTGAAAACATTTTTCAGAAAAACAGACACGTTTTTTCAGCATCCCTGGAAACCTCATTCTATGAGGAAGAAGAGATGTTCCAAAAGAGGGGTTATTTTTCCCAACATTTGGCCCTGTGTAAACTGGCCAAATGTCAGAAAAGCCTCTTTTGGAAGAAAAGCGGAAAAAGATATGCTTATAGCAAACCACGATGTGCATATCTTTCTCCAACTTTTCTTTGTAGTGTAGACATAACCTGAATGTGACAAAATACCATGGCTGGGTAGCTCACACAAGGATAGACATGTTCTTACTCTGAAGAACATTGTTCTAAAATCAACATGACAGAACAAATGAGAGTCATAAGGAGACAGAGATGGGCAGGAATGGGAAAGGAAGGACAATAGGCAGATCACACAGTTACTTAGTATGATATGTGTACACCTTAATGATGTTGTTACTAGAAAGAAAGAAAGAAAGAAAGAAAGAAAGAAAGAAAGAAAGAAAGAAAGAAAGAAAGAAGCCCTGCACATAGGTGTTGTTTAATCTTGCCTGCAATGTTCCCTGATTAGGGATGATTTCAGAAAGAAAAATGAGAACTGAACTAGGGAGTCTCAGTGGATAAGAAGGGTTCAACCCAAAATGTAATAGCTTTAGGTCAAATTAAATAAGGCAATGACTATGCTTCCTTAATAATATAACTGTTAGAAGTTTGTCTGTAGAGTTCAAAGTACCTCACAGAATTTTAAAGCCCTGTCTTACAGCTGAGAAACTGAGACAAAAGACAATTTTACTGGATTTCTCAGGCCACACACAGAGTCAGTGACAGTCAGGAATAAACTCTGTGAGTTCTGGCTCTCAGTTCCATACCAGTCCCATTGAATGACATTGTTCCTCATCAAGTGTTGCTTTTATGATAGTGGAAAGCAAGGATGCTGCATTTTTGTAGGGCTGGATCAGCATAATTATTATTTATTGTTTATTCAGCATTAACTACACTTAATTTCTTTGCGTCCATATACTGTATATCCAGAAGAGTGACCAGCTGTGGTAGGTGCTGAAAGAAACCTTCTGCCTTAATTTCAGAGAGGAAGCCGTATGAGTCTGTTTCAACAAAAATAATGAGTCTGGTGGCACCTTAAAGACTAACACATTTATTAGGGCTCTATGGCACTCATTTCTGTGGGCTGCAGCTCCCTTGGTCAGATGCGAGAAGTGAAAGAATCAGATGGCAGGGATGTCTACTTCCATACAGAGATGGGAGTGTGACAACAGTGTTAATGAAGCTCATTCAATCAGGGTGTATGTGGCCCACTTCCAACAGTGACAGGAGGCTGAGAATCCCCAAAGGGGAAATTTACTTATGGTAATGAGAGAGTCATTCTCAGTCTCTATTCAGACACAGTCTGATGGTGTCACATTTGCACATGAATTTTTTGATGCTTTTTGCTTTAGAATGGCAACTTTCAAGTCAGTAACTGTGTGCCCAGGGAGGTTAAACCCCTCCCTCCCATTTTTTGTATTTACCACTCTTGATGTCTGATTTGTGTCCATGTATTCTGTTGTGTAGAGACTGTCTAGTTTGTCCCAAGTGAATGGCAGAGGGGCACTGTTAGCACAAGATGGCACAGATCACAAAGTGGATGTGCAGGTGAATGAGCCTTTGATGGTGTGGTAGATGAGGGTAGGTCCTGTGTCACTGTGATAGAGGTGTGGACAGAGCTGGCAATAGGGTGTTGCAGGGATAGGTTCCTGGGTTAGTGTTTCTGTTGTGGGGTGTGTAGTTGGTGGTGAATATGTATTTCAGGTTATGGGTCTGTCTGCAAGCAAGGACTGGCCTGCCTCCCATGGTCTGAGAGCAAGGGGTCATCATCTGGGATGGGTTGTAGATCCTTGATGATGTATTTGAGAAGTTTTAGCTGGGGGCTGTAGGTAATGACCAATAGTGTTCTGTTGCTTTCTATGCTGAGTCTGTTATGTGGGAGGTGAGTATTGTAGTTTTAAGAATGCTTGATAGAGATCCTGCAGGTGTTTGGCTGGAACAAATACAGTTGTGACTTAGCACTTGGCTGTAGATAATGGATTATGTGATACGTTCTGAATGAAAGCTCGTAGGTAAGTACAGGGGTATTCTCACCTTATTACTCTTGGAAGTGAGCCACATCCACCCTGATTGAATTAGCCTCATTAACACTCCCGTCTCTGTATGGAAGTAGACATCCCTGCCATATGATTCTTTCACTTCTCATATCTGACCAAGGGAGCTGCAGCCCACAAAAGGTTGTGCCCTAATAAATGTGCTAGTCTTTAAGGTGCCACCGGATGCCTTGCTGCTTTTGCTTAGAGTGAATGCAGTGTTCTTAGCAGCATAGACTCAGTGTGCTCTGAGTAGGAGTGTTGGGACATTTCTAAGAGTAGAAACCTGGAACAGGTTAATTCCGTCCAGCGATTAATTGCATGCAGCTCCAAGCCAGAAATCATGAGATATGACCCGCGGTGCTGGGGGTTGTTGTCTGTGCAAGTTCCAAAGAGGTGACATGTAACGGTTGATGGTGGGGGGCACATGTCATGTCCCTCCCCGCCCGGGCAGGCCCCTCCCCTCCCTTCAGCCTCCCCTTCTGGAAAGCCCCAGCTTGGCCCGACAGAGATGGGCAGGAATGGGAAAGGAAGGACAATAGGCAGATCACACAGTTACTTAGTATGATAGAAAGAAAGAAAGAAAGAAAGAAAGAAAGAAAGAAAGAAAGAAAGAAAGAAAGAAAGAAAGAAAGAAAGAAAGAAAGAAAGAAAGAAAGAAAGAAAGAAAGAAAGAAAGAAAGAAAGAAAGAAAGAAAGAAAGAAAGAAAGAAAGAAAGAAAGAAAGAAAGAAAGAAGCCCTGCACATAGGTGTTGTTTAATCTTGCCTGCAATGTTCCCTGATTAGGGATGATTTCAGAAAGAAAAATGAGAACTGAACTAGGGAGTCTCAGTGGATAAGAAGGGTTCAACCCAAAATGTAATAGCTTTAGGTCAAATTAAATAAGGCAATGACTATGCTTCCTTAATAATATAACTGTTAGAAGTTTGTCTGTAGAGTTCAAAGTACCTCACAGAATTTTAAAGCCCTGTCTTACAGCTGAGAAACTGAGACAAAAGACAATTTTACTGGATTTCTCAGGCCACACACAGAGTCAGTGACAGTCAGGAATAAACTCTGTGAGTTCTGGCTCTCAGTTCCATACCAGTCCCATTGAATGACATTGTTCCTCATCAAGTGTTGCTTTTATGATAGTGGAAAGCAAGGATGCTGCATTTTTGTAGGGCTGGATCAGCATAATTATTATTTATTGTTTATTCAGCATTAACTACACTTAATTTCTTTGCGTCCATATACTGTATATCCAGAAGAGTGACCAGCTGTGGTAGGTGCTGAAAGAAACCTTCTGCCTTAATTTCAGAGAGGAAGCCGTATGAGTCTGTTTCAACAAAAATAATGAGTCTGGTGGCACCTTAAAGACTAACACATTTATTAGGGCTCTATGGCACTCATTTCTGTGGGCTGCAGCTCCCTTGGTCAGATGCGAGAAGTGAAAGAATCAGATGGCAGGGATGTCTACTTCCATACAGAGATGGGAGTGTGACAACAGTGTTAATGAAGCTCATTCAATCAGGGTGTATGTGGCCCACTTCCAACAGTGACAGGAGGCTGAGAATCCCCAAAGGGGAAATTTACTTATGGTAATGAGAGAGTCATTCTCAGTCTCTATTCAGACACAGTCTGATGGTGTCACATTTGCACATGAATTTTTTGATGCTTTTTGCTTTAGAATGGCAACTTTCAAGTCAGTAACTGTGTGCCCAGGGAGGTTAAACCCCTCCCTCCCATTTTTTGTATTTACCACTCTTGATGTCTGATTTGTGTCCATGTATTCTGTTGTGTAGAGACTGTCTAGTTTGTCCCAAGTGAATGGCAGAGGGGCACTGTTAGCACAAGATGGCACAGATCACAAAGTGGATGTGCAGGTGAATGAGCCTTTGATGGTGTGGTAGATGAGGGTAGGTCCTGTGTCACTGTGATAGAGGTGTGGACAGAGCTGGCAATAGGGTGTTGCAGGGATAGGTTCCTGGGTTAGTGTTTCTGTTGTGGGGTGTGTAGTTGGTGGTGAATATGTATTTCAGGTTATGGGTCTGTCTGCAAGCAAGGACTGGCCTGCCTCCCATGGTCTGAGAGCAAGGGGTCATCATCTGGGATGGGTTGTAGATCCTTGATGATGTATTTGAGAAGTTTTAGCTGGGGGCTGTAGGTAATGACCAATAGTGTTCTGTTGCTTTCTATGCTGAGTCTGTTATGTGGGAGGTGAGTATTGTAGTTTTAAGAATGCTTGATAGAGATCCTGCAGGTGTTTGGCTGGAACAAATACAGTTGTGACTTAGCACTTGGCTGTAGATAATGGATTATGTGATACGTTCTGAATGAAAGCTCGTAGGTAAGTACAGGGGTATTCTCACCTTATTACTCTTGGAAGTGAGCCACATCCACCCTGATTGAATTAGCCTCATTAACACTCCCGTCTCTGTATGGAAGTAGACATCCCTGCCATATGATTCTTTCACTTCTCATATCTGACCAAGGGAGCTGCAGCCCACAAAAGGTTGTGCCCTAATAAATGTGCTAGTCTTTAAGGTGCCACCGGATGCCTTGCTGCTTTTGCTTAGAGTGAATGCAGTGTTCTTAGCAGCATAGACTCAGTGTGCTCTGAGTAGGAGTGTTGGGACATTTCTAAGAGTAGAAACCTGGAACAGGTTAATTCCGTCCAGCGATTAATTGCATGCAGCTCCAAGCCAGAAATCATGAGATATGACCCGCGGTGCTGGGGGTTGTTGTCTGTGCAAGTTCCAAAGAGGTGACATGTAACGGTTGATGGTGGGGGGCACATGTCATGTCCCTCCCCGCCCGGGCAGGCCCCTCCCCTCCCTTCAGCCTCCCCTTCTGGAAAGCCCCAGCTTGGCCC